CAAGCAAGCAAGCAAGCAAGCAAGCAAGCAAGCAAGCAAGCAAGCAAGCAAACAAACAAACAAACAAACAAACAAACAAACAAACAAACAAACAAACAAACAAACAAACAAACCGACGGACGGACGGACGGACGGACGGACGGACGGACAAACAGACCAGCACTCAGGCAGTGCTAACATATTCATGTATTTGTTTTTTCTCAGCCAATCACGTCTCTTATTCGCTGTATGTGTCACAACCGTGCACGACAACGAGACAAGTTGGTATTTCTTTTGGACGAATTTGCTGTTTTACAAGATGAGGTACAGAAAATGTGTGTACAGTGTAAAAATTAAACTAACTTTATTTATACTGGATATATATAGCTCTAACAGTTCTAAACTGTTCTTCCTAGAGGTCAAGTAAAAATGTCACCAGTGTTACTACAGAAGGAAACCTAAACTAAACTAACTTTATTTATACTGGATAGCCCCATCAGTTCTACATTGTTCTCCCTGGATGTCCAGTCTCTTAATCCAGTGTAACTAGAGGAGAAACTGGAATACAAGGAGAAAACCTATGGTGTTTGGTACAGTCAAATTGGAAACATGCTTCTCGCTTACAGTAGACTAGCCATTGTGCCAACAATACCTTATTATAACGTCTTCATAATTTTTCTTTAGGCAGACAAAGTTGACGCTGATCTGCATCACATGATTGTCGCTGTTGAACCAAAGGTAAAAATATGGGGGAAAGGTTCAGTTGAGGCGGCTGCCCCTCTTTGACCCCTGCTGCTCAACTGCTGCTCAACCGCCGCTGCTCAACTGGCTTGTTAAACAACCGCATGTCAAACTGTAAACTTACCATGTGAATGGCAGATATAATTATATCAGAATTTTCCTGTTTCAGAGAGAGCACTTTGCTTGTTTTGGATCATGGGTTCTGAACCGCACCTTGACGATCATGATTCAATATTTGTTGCTGGGAATGGAGTTGCAGTTGTTTAGCGCACATGAATATCATTATTTATTCTGGTTAGTTCGTAACTAAGTTGCTTGTGTGATGTTAGTCTGAGTGTATATCCACACCGGGCAGACTTGAAAAATATGCCTGGCCACGTTGGGATGCGAACCTACGACCTTTGGAATACTAGCCCAATGCTCTGATAACTTAGCTACACGGTCAGGTCGGTTCGACCTGGGCTAGTATTCCAAAGGTCGTAGGTTCGAATCCCACCGTGGCCAGGCATATTTTTCAAGTCTGCCCGCCGCCCGGTGTGGATATACACTCAGAGTAACATCACACAAGCATCTTATTCACCTGAGTACATTACACCAACACATTTTTGGGGGGCATCTGACACTCGTCTGAACATTTAAAATCAAAATTTTGTTCATTAGGTAATAGGTCCATTGGATGGCTCTATAAATTCTAAACAAATATTTTTTCTCCAGGTATTTAGATTATTTATTCAACTGGCAAGCGACATGTTTGTCGAGAGCAACAGAATTACTACAGTCACACGAAACAGCGCTGGGTAAGCTACGGTAGACAATAAAACTAAATAGTGTGACAGTACTGTGTTTTTTATTATTAAATAAAATTTGTTTTGAAATTTTTGACATGATATGTTTCAGAACAAAAGAGCGGGAAAAGTGGAAAGAAGAACAAAAAGAAAAAAAGAGGTCAGTTAGTAACTAAATAAAGTAAGATTTTTTTCTGTGTTGGTGTTATGTACTCAGGTGAATATATGATGTTTGTGATGTTACTCTGAGTGTATATCCACACCGGACAAGCTTGAAAAATATTGCATTGATATCAAAGGAACTTTAAGACTCAGTTCCGAAATATCACATACTCGAACCGATCTGACCGCGTAGCTCAGTTGGCAGAGCATTGGGCTAGTATTCCAAAGGTCGTAGGCTCGATTCCCACCGTGGCCAGTTTTCAAGCTTGTCCTGTGTGGATATATACACTCAGAGTAACATCACAAACATTAAATAAAATAATATTTTCGAGTTCGATTCTCGTCGCGGGCTTATGAAGAGTGTCACTCCACGCTCGGGAACGTATACAAGCTGATTGCGTCTGATTTTGTTTTAGCGAGTGAGAAATATATCCAAGAACATCAAGGAATGAAGCAGTTTTATCACGGCATGAGAAACTTGTGTTCTGGTTATATGAAAGTAAGTTGCTCGTTGTTGTAGCTGCAGATAAATTTATGTTCTCGATCTGTAGTTTTTGTGTCAGCCTAGCATACAAAGCATATGTTTCGTTTGGGAGGCTCGTTTGACCGTATGAACAAGCTTTCGTTGATAGGGATGCAACTACCTGAAAAATATAAGGAGAATTTCGACGTTTCGAGCGAAGGCCCTTGTCTGGACGAAGAGGAGACCGTGTTAGTTTGACCCTGATATTTTGTGTCAGTTTAGCATGCAAAGCAGTTGTCTCGTTTGGGAGGCTCGTCTAACCCTAATCTTTTATTTGCGTTTTTCTAGGCGCTGGAAGGTTTCTTACTTTGTGGCAAGATTTGTTATCCTGCAGAGCAGTTCGACAGCGAGAGGGTAAGTGACGTGACCAGGATAAATTAAGTATCACCATTTTACATTTACAACAAAGAAATCAATCCACTATATGGTATTTATCAGGGTCGGATCTAGCCTCATCTGCAAGGAGGGGTGCAGGTTTTTCACGGGGTGGTGCATGATGGAGCCTTACTGTCCACTCTCCTCTGCAGTCTGCAACGTTACTATCCCAACATTGCCATTGAGATGGCCGAATCTGCACGCTGTTCTGTCACATTTTACATTATCTTTTGTTCATAAAATTTACTGTATAAACCCATTGCACATGGCGTCACAGCGCCGGTGACGATGCATCTGGAGGACAAATTGGCAATCTATGCATAATATAACTTTTGTAAACAAAGCAAATTTTGTAAAACTTTATAATAATTTTGTATTAAAATGGTTTGCGCTGTATGTGGTTGTCGCACCAGAACAGATATTGTTGGGGAGCATCTGGAGGACACTCTAAGGATTTCTGACGTCAGTGCAATGGGTCTGTATCGTTTTTTTTATCACGTATGCGTGACTAGCACAGTACTGTAAATTTGCTTGTTAATTTAATGCAATGTTTGGAAAGAAACTTTGTAGTAATGTAATGAAGGTCAAAATTGGATGAGTCGTACAGTTACAATGATTCAAATATGGGGAGGGGGGGGAGGGGGACGTTTTAAGTCCAAATATTTTATGGGGGCCATAAGTTAGACCGCTGCACCTCGCCTAAATATTCTTCCACCTCTCCCACCATTTCCACCAAAATCCGGCCTTGGCAGCCATTATACGATTCGATGGAGAGTTTATGAAATGATTTGTCGTTATAGATGAGATTCGAGCACCGTTTCTTCCCTTTCCAAACGTTGGACACGCCTCAACCTCGACTTTTCACACAATATCAAGAAACTTTAAGTATAACTCTCTCTCATATAACAAAGGTAAGATAAATTTCATTGTTATGTACAAGGATAGAGTATGCCACCTCTGTGCGCCTTACTACACACGTAAAACTCTCACACCTTGTAGCAAGTCTGCCAACAAGCCGTCAACAAGTTATGTTCGCACTGCTTGTCCCAAGTTGTCAACAAGTTTGGAACAAGCTGTCAACAACTTGCAACAACCTTGTTGCTATTATCGGACTTGTGGCAAGGTTGTTCTATAACAAGTCCGATACAGTTATGATATAACAATATTGTTACAACCTTGTGTCGTCAACCTTGTAACATTCTTGTTATATCATGACTGTATCAGACTTGTTGGAACAACCTTGTAACAAGTCTGATAATGCCACAAAGCTTGTTACAAATTGTTAACAGCTTGTTCCAAACTTGTTACAACAACTGCGAACAAGCGGTGCGAAGACAACTTGTCGACAGCTTGTGAACAGATTTGTAACAACTTGTTTGCAGACCTGTAACACAATTTGTGTGTTTTTACGTTTGTAGTAAAGGGACGTTAGTTGAGCGAAGTTATTGAAAGGGTTGGATTGAGAATTTCATTTTTGTTGCATATAGGAAACAGATTTATTTGGGTTATCCGCACGAAGTTTTCAACAGGCAAAGACGATATTTGAAGGATTATCAAATGTTCCCCAGAAGGTAAGAAAGAAAGGACCAAAAGCTCATTTCCACTCAAGAAAAATTCCCGCGGTCAGAAAATTTTCCTTAAAATATCATTAGTAAAAGTTGAAAATTTTCAGACAGATTTGAGATGATCATGTGTTTATTAAATTTGTGTTGTAGGTGGATGAACTTCTAAAAGTAGCCAAGACTAACTTTGTTGTCATGAAACTTGCTGCTGGGGGCCATAAACACGATTCACAGGTAAACACAGTTTGTGTACAGGGCGGACACTAGGGGGCGGG